AAAAAAAATTACAGGAATTCTAACTCTACCATTAGTCAGAAAAAAATAAGGGCCAAAACATGTAAATATTTCTTTAACAAAAACGTGGAAACAGCCAATATCAGAAATCACTGGGAAATGAAAGCCGCGTCACTCGGAGTTTATTGTTTACAGACAGCTTGTCACGTGTCTTGAAGCTAAGCCTCAACTCAGAATCCAGAGGGTCAGTCTTCAACAGCTCCTGGGGGCAGCTGGGTGAAGGTGTGGCTACTTCTGTATCAGAAAGGCGAGCTGGAACAGAGACCGGAAAGAAGCCAGCCCTTCACTGCATGTGCCCTCTGAGCCTATACACTGATGCCAGTTGCTGGCAATGGCTAACTATTCATGCGTTGAGTGCTCAGACCCAAATGGGACCTCTATACCAAACCCTGTCCAAGGCTCCAGGCACATCCTAAGAGGGGACAGACAGAATGTGAGAGTCAGAAGATGGGAGGAGAGCTGTGAAGGCCTGTCTTCTGGAAATGGCGTGGCCGCTGTACTCATTGGCTCATAGCAGCTACGGTGGCCCCCTCAAGATCAAGCCAGTCAAAATTCCAGAATGGTTGGGGGAGGGATCGTGAGACATCCCACTCCCGGTAGAGGAGCTTTTGAAAGATGATGGCTGCTGGAGGAGGAAGCCACAGCCCCTCGTCCATGCCCACATGGGAAGCAATCACTGGACTCAGTAAGTTATTAACTAAAAAGGAAGAAGAGGAAATTAACGAAGTTGGAACAGGGACCTTGCCGGGGGTGGGGAGCATTCTGGGAGGAGTTGGAGGGAAATAGTAAGGGATGAGTGTGATAAAAACACAAAATATGAAATTCTAAAAGATTAAATGTATTGTTTTTTAAAGAGTCACATGTTTTACAGTCAATTTCACAAAGCAGAAGACATTCCAAGGCTTTCTAGTATAAATACCACAGTCCCTCAAGGATAAACCTTCAACACCACTGCACTGCTAAAACATATTTCTCAGCTGGGATGCTGAGATTTTGATGCAAAGCCCGTCTGCTTGAACACTAGCTGCCTTCTCTGCCCCTTGCAGGACAGGGGACTCAGGTAAAGTCTGCGCCTGTCCTTCAGCTTTTCCATAATTCTAGACATTCTGGAACAATCTACAGCATACAATGTGAACTCCAGACTGACTGATGTCAGGGTCAGAGGGGAGAGCTGGGCTGACAGAACTAAACCTTAGACTTCATACTCAGCAGCACGAAGTATGTATAGATAACAGAGGCATGATTGTACGGCCTCGCTGGTCTTCATTTATTTCTGCACACAGTGTGAAGATACAACGTTTGCCTTGTCTCTAGTGTGTGTGTGCATGTGTGTATGTGCAGGCAGGCATGTATGTCCATCAAACAATGGACATCTGAGTGCTGCATGTAAGAAGGAGAATGAAAGAACAAAGCACCACAATCACCCAGATGGGGTCATCTCACCTACTCAACTGCCTCAGGAAGAGACAAAAGTGTCCAAAAATTGTGTCTGGGGGATTGGAGAGAAGGTTCTGCAAGTGAGCACTTATTGCTCCTCCGGAGAACCTGTGTTCGGTTCCCACCACCCACATGATGGCTTGGAACCATCTGTAATTCCATTCCCAAGGGGTCAGACACCCTCCCCTGGCTTCCACAGGAATCAGGCATGCACATAGCACACATACATGCATGCAGACAAACCACTCACACAATTAAAGCTATAGGAACAAAAAATAATTTAGCTGCATGGATCTTATCATTTAGTCCTTCGAGTGACAAAGTCTCACTCGGTCCCTCACATGACAAAATTGTGCCTCAAACCTCAGTAGGTAGAACATTCTAAGCAAGTAAAAGTTTGAGGGAAAAAATGTATAGGAAAATAGGATACAGGGATGCAGGGAGGGGGCTCAAACATTCTAAATGCTATCCATTTAAAATGACATGCCAGCCAAACTCAGTTGCCTCACCCCTTCCCCATCAACACCCATTACAACAGCTCTACTGGATCCAGTCCAGCCCTAAAACCAAATCCTGGGATTGCTTCACTCAAGCCCCCTGAGCCTTTACAGGGTACCCAGTGGTTAAAGGTACTGTGGGGTTTTTTTTGTTTTGTTTTGTTTTGTTTTAAGTAAAAACCAGGACCGTCTGACATAGACGAGTCCATTTATGGAGTAACATCACACATAACTTGGTGAAAATGGTGTAATGGAAAAGATCCAGGGCCAGTCATTTTGGTCCTCCAAAGCAAGACATTCAAAAGATTTTTTTCCCCCCAAGGTATCAAAAACTTTTAGTGCTGTGAACATTATTGTAATTCTATATTTAGAATCATTCTATCAGCAACTACAGAATCTACCACAGTTACAAAGCAGGGAGTGAGTGTTCTAAGTCCTCACAGAGCTGGGGGGAGAACCAGCGGGGAAGTGTTCTTAGCATGCAAGGATGAGGAGTTGATTTCAGATCCGCACAAAAAGCTGGGTATAACCACACACATGCACACAGACAGATACGCCACAAATACACTCACAGACGCGTTAAATTTGTTTAATACTAAATAAACACATAAACAAACAAACAATGAATAAATGAATAATGGCATGGTTGGCATGAATTTGGGAACAAATTGGAAGGAAAGGTTTAGAAATGGGTACAACTGACCCAGGAAGCACAGGTGCTAAGAATATTATGTAGTTTTTAAAAACAACTGACAAAGTTACACTCCTGAAGCCAGCCTGGTCTACACAGGACCAGACCAGCAAGGGCTACACAGTGAGATCCTCTCCCCCTCCACACACACACACACAAAATACCAAACCACCACACCAAAAGAAGGGAAGCAGAGGGAGATGAAGTCTGCATCTCTCGATGAGCTAGGCTGTGGTACTTCACTGTAAGAATCCACAGCTGATGAGGCAGACATAGCAGCACAGGTATACTGAGACGGTTCGCTTCCTCACGTACTTACCGCCCTTACGCCACTGCTCATGCTTCGAATCTTAAATGTTCCGCTAATAATCTGACCCTCGTCTTTAAGCTAAGTTATCGTTACTTGTAAAACTATGACTGCAGTCACCTCTCAGCAGGACATTCTCCAATTTGTTAGAAGGGGGAGAATCTGCTCCCTTCTCCAGGCTCTTTCATCAGAGCATCACACATTTTACCACACCTCCTTCAAAATCTGCATTACTTTGGAGTGTGGTCGGCTTAATTCACATTTTGACTTTTTATTTTATAACTTGATCTTTTTCTTTCTTTCTTATGTTTTGTTTGTTATTGTTTTTTTAATTTTGTTTTTTCAAGATAGGGTTTCTCTTTGTAGCCCTGGTTGTCCTGGAACTTGCTTTGTAGACCAGGCTAGCCTCAAACTTAGAGATTGGCCTGCCTCTGCCTCCCAAGTGCTGGGATTAAAGGCATGATCCATTACCGCCTAGCCAATAACAGTGTTTAATCTGATTCTCCTTTGTATGGCTAAACAGAGAGCATTAGAGTTACACACTTTCTTCCCTGCGATTTCAGTCTGGAGACTTGTGAACTAACAGAAATGTCTTAAACATGCTGGGTAAAATTTGTTCTACTTGCACATTGAAAAGGGGGGGGGGTGCTCTAATCTAGAAACAAATGTCTTGTTTCAGTTGGAAGGCAGGAAGACATGTAAAACTCAAAGGAGGCACACTGAGCTGTTTTCATTATAAAGGTTATTACGCTAAGATTTCAGCACAAACAGCATTTACAAAGAAAATAGATTCTTAATGAAGTTACTGTTGTGTAACTGCGAGTATAGCACACACACGACCTTTTCTTCTCATCACCCCCTCTACTGACTTGCTGCTCCTTAAACATCACAGCAAACTGTTCTGTGCAGGTGGCAGCAGACTTTGGCAAGTTAAGAAGAATCCAAATTCAGGGGGAACAGAACTTTCCACTTAAAAGTTAGGATTCTGTTCTTCTGTTTCACATTTGTAGCAACTCTTTGAGGTGAACACTGTTGCTAGTATCTTCCGCTCTGAGGAAATTAGGGCCTCAGGAAGGTTAAGCCAACTACCAAAGTCCCGGGTCTTAGAAACGCACTCGGAAAGTCTGCGGTTGAGTCCATTCTCTTAAACAGCAAATTAGGGCACCGATGTAATCAGAAAGGAAGATGATACTCTGCTCAATGGCTCATGTGGCGACATAGATAATAAAAATCACACATGTCTACTGATGGACTAGAGATAAGGGATAAGCTAGTGTGTGCCTGTATTCTTGAGTAAGACGGGAGTATGCATTTGCTCTTCCTCATCACTGTGATGCTTTTTGAAAGAATAGTTCTTCTCTCCCACCCAGCTCCATCGCTCTGGGGGACGGTGAGCCTCCGCAGGCTTGCTGTTGGAGCCAGTTCAGACGCAGCACTTGGAGGCTGTGTGGGCTAACTAAAGCGTCTCTCAGTAGAGCAAACAGCTGGGCTCTACCACGTCTGACCACATCACTGCAGGAATTGGCCTCTGTGCAAGATGTCTGCAGATGTTCGCATTCCTCTAGCCAGAACCCACTTCTGCAAGTTTGGCCTGGTCGAACAGCAAGATAGCCTTTCTGCTTCCTCTCCTAAGTGCAAAGCCTTTTCCAAATAGGGTTGGTGTAATAAAAACAAAGTCAGAGGGCTTTTATTTCATGTAAGAGTTTCCCAGCCTGTGCAGCAATTAAATACTTGCTTAAGGTAAGGGCAAATGAGGCTGACTCTGTGCCACAAGTTGCAAGCTGTTTTGACCTCTAAAGAAAAGCTACAATTGAACCCACTGAGTATAAACACAAAGAAGGGTCCAGAAATCTATGCTGTCATGTAACAAAGGGTGCCCAGGACCCACGTGACATGTGCCAAGGTCATATCTTAATATCGTACAGTTCCAGAGGTAGAGCCTCTCACTCTCGGAACTGTCCTAGATCGTGGACCAATAAAAATGCCGGAAGCGGTTCTCCCTATAGTCAACTGCGCATCCTGAAGCACGCGGCCCAGCGTGCTCCTCACATCGCAACGGCCTCCCTCTGTTATTTTAACACCTTTATCCTGATTCTGCCGAAGGCAGAGGTCAAGTCTGCAGTGATGTGAATACCACATGTAACTGTTCCAGCCCATCTGCCAGTCACAACACTGTGAGTAATGGAAGCAGCTTCCATGACCGCTTCAGGCCCCAGCCAGACACGCGGGATCAGAGACGCACTTCCGGTTTGTCTGTGGCAACACTACCCAGGGCACGGGCCGTCCTGATTTCCTACTTTGAAGGTACAAGCCAACCTACCTCTCTAATTTATTTCAAGAGCCTTTTATTAACAAAAATCATCAAAAATACTATTCTAAAACCATCTAAAGATAAACAGGAAGAATATTTCATGCTCTGGTTTTCGAAACCTTTGTCTGCCTACTTGCTTTCTCTGGCACCAGTCAACTAGCCGCTTCAGCGGCTTCCCTCCCCAAACTATGGGCTGGTGTCACTTCCCTTCCTTCCTTCCTTCCACTTCTGCCTCCCTCTCTCTTTCTCTTTCGCCCCATCCTTTTCTTTTCTCCTTAGTCTCCGTTTAGAATGCAATGTTTTGTTACCACCTTGAACTTGCTAAATTCAAGACCACACCAGTGCCTCACCTTCTTGTTCAGTCAGCAAGTTTGCCACCTTGAAAATATCAGATACAGGACGATCAAGTCAGCACTTTGCCCCCAAAGCCGTTCAGTGGTGTGATGGAGGTTGAAACCAGCTCTGTGCTTTCATTCCTGCCCCACCCCGACACATCCGTGCTAATCATGACCAACATCATGAAAGAATTCCAAATAAGGGGCATTCTGTGAAACACCTGGCCATCCATCCTCAGTGCTACCATGGTCGTTACAAACAAGAGAAAGCTGAGAAATTCCCTGTGACTTAAAAAGCCACACTGACGAGATGTATGATGTAATGCGTGATGGGAGCCCTGTGATTGGAGCAGGAATAGAGAGGATAATTAGGCAAAAGGCAAGGGAAAGAACTGAAGATGGAGTCAGAGTAAGCAGCTATGCATGAGTACTTGTTCATTGACTGCGATGAATATGCCCTTAGAGGCAAGACGCTATTCCCAGGGAACACACACACATGTCCTCACTCCTGGCCCAGATGGCCCTGGAAGGTGAGGACGCAGAAACAACTCTCCAAACCTGGGAGACCACAAACCTGGGACAGCAAATTTCAATCCTTTTAGAACCTCTCTCTCGAGTGATTGGAACATCCATATGCAAGTGTTTTTCTTGGGGGATCGAAAGGAAGAACTTAAAGCTCAAAATTCCCCGCGGTTCATTATAACAGGAAACACGAAGCCGGACTGTGAAATGCAGCAGCCCAGATGTTTAGAGAACGGCCCTGGGTGTGGCAAGTCCTGGTTCCTCTGAGGCCCTGAGCGCTTTCTGTCTGGTACTCTGGAATAAATTCTCTCGAGAGCACAGGCCTCTGCTCGAATGTCTGGGTCACCTGAGTCTCCCCTGAAGTCCAGGCAGCAAGCAGTACCTTTGCTGTCCTCTGGGGCCTATACTCAGGAGTGGGGATTTGTCTCTGGACATGGGAACGGAGCTCACATCAAGAACACAGACAGAGGAGTTTCAGCCCCAAAGTAGGAACTAGTTAGCCCTTGGGTAAGGAAAGCTTGCCTATAAAACAGAAAAGCAGGCAGTGTCAAAGTTGTATCTGTCAAATCTCTGAGGAGAGTCGATCAGTAGCATCATGAAAGCATGGGGAGCTACTTTCCAGAGTCCCATGACCCTGGACTTCACCCACTGAGCTCAAGGTTGACCGTAACAAACTCATTGGATGTTTGCTTCCACTACGGAAGCCAAAGCTACATAATACTTATCCAAATGGTAGATGAAACCGCAGAAATGACTGAAACCATGAGATAAACAAAGAGGGTTAGTGGGAGCCCTGAAGGGACGGGGTAGCACGTGAAGTTGCCCGTTCCCTCCTCCTTGTTATCTCTCATACTTGAACTGGGGGATTAGGGCAAACCAGAATTCTCACAACCAAGAGTTCTGTCCAAGGAAATGATATACCTGCGTGTTCTTGTCACCACAGGGAAAGCAGCCAATGAGGCCAGGTTAGAGGAAGCGAAGATTACGGGAGTATAAGATGACCCCGAACTTTAGTTCTGAATGCTGGTACCTCCTGAGGATGACAGGTAGGGCTCTGGAACTTTATTTCCATCCATTGGTATCTGAAGGTTGGAACAGCCTTTCCAACAGAAACGGTGGGAAGAGGTGGTGGTTTGGTCCCCAACTAGACAACGAGCAGGCTCTCTGCTTCTTTACCAGCTAAATAGACCATTGTGAATGGACCTGGGAATTCCTAGTCACAACTTAAAATGTTTTGTGGGAAACATTCCGCAGCAGAGAGCCTGGAGGAAGCTCGGCCATGTCAACCCATGAGCCTAGAGAACACAGGCTGGGGCAGACCCCGGGAAAGGACTCTATGTGTGCTGCCTGAGAAAAGCCATCCCCGTGCTGGGTGCAGCTGCTCTGGGGTCACCCGTGTTGCTGTCAGAAGTCCCTCGCCCTTGATCTGTAAATAAGCTCAATAAATATATTGGTTCCCCAAGGCGAGCTGCAGTGGAATGGAGCTTCGGTTTGTTCTTAGAACCCGAGGGAAAGCGGGGCAAGGCTCGATGTTCACATATCCCCCAAGGAGGGAACTTTAGCAATGTCGTTGGTAAACACTGAGTGTCTAAAGAGTCAGACGAAGTTAGAAAAAGGCTCACAGGTAGTGCAAGTGTTACAGCTCTGAAGGGAAAGATATCCTGACATTGGGAGTCAAGGAATACCACACCACACGACAAACCTCACATGAGATTTATTGGGAAAGACGCAAGAGGGTGGCTGCCTTCGCTCAGGAGAGAGCAGCAGGGAACCGAGCAGGAGGAAGGTTTCTATTGGGCTTCTTATAATCCTTCATGATCTTATAACCAACCCCAGGGTGACCTGGGATTGGTGGGATGCTAGGGCCTGATCTTGGGTCAAGTTCAGGGATTAGTGGGATTCTGGGGCCTGATCTTGTGGCAAACTCAGGCAGGAATTGAAGGGATTCTGGGGCCTGCTCTTGGGGCGAGCTCAGGGAATTGGTGGGATTCTGGGTCTGATCTTGGGACTTCCTGTTTCTGTAGGGCAGAGCTTGGCCACCTGGGTCTCAAGGAGCACACAGTTGGCACAACTATTTTGTTGTTGATACTGTTATACTCTAAAACTTGACAGTTCTTTCCTTACCCTTGCAATTAAAAGTAAAGTTGTGATCATTTACATATACACATATGAAAAAAAACAAGAAAGGGAGTGTACATTTGATTGAATTAGTAATCTATCCAGTTCCTGTCATGTCATGTTACAAAATAAAAACAGTAATTAGCAAATTTTAGAAAACATTATAACTTACAAAGTGAGTTTTTCCCTAAAACCATATCAGGAAAACACACTGCCCTGCTCATTTGCAGATGAGAAAGAGGAAAAATTAGACTAAGGCCATAACTTTGTGTTAAAGGCTACACGATGGAAACTTAAATCCCCAAGTAAAAGGCAAAAGAATTTAAGAATAAAACATTGGCAGACTAGGGCGAAAGAGTTTGGGAGCGAGAAGAAGAAAGATGTTTCTCTCATCACCCAAAGATGAAGTGTCTTGCTTTTCACTAATTGCTGCAACAGTTTTGTGTTCAGATTTTCTTTTACTAGGTCTGCAAAACCAAACAAATGAAAACCACTTCTTTTTAGGCTGATTATACGGTGTATATTGGGGAGGGGGTGGTGTGAAGGAAATAGATCCATATTTCTGTTACTAACACGGTCCCTGCAGGGTGAGTACAGGGCCAGCTCCCGTGATGAAAATGTTAGCTAGCTCTCAGATGGTTAGGGTTGGAGGAACATGCAACAAGTGTCTGGGTAGGTAGAAGGCAATAGAATGGTTCTGAAGGAATAGAATGTTTCGAAACCTGCTCTCAGCTGGTTCCAAAATGCATACTGACATCCACCTGAGCATTGAGTTGAACTTGCCTTTAGAAAAGCAACTGCAGGCACCTTCCAGCGACGTATCTAACCTTGCTTAGGAACACAGCAGGCCTCATGAAGTTGCGGTGGCCCATTTCATAAGAAACCAGAGTCCCTTCCTACTCCCAGTATCACAGATCTCTCCTAAAATCCAACATGGAAGTTTTCTTTCACCTAGGTGATAGCAGCATTGGCCTCCACAGTTGCCAGGGCCGGGACACATGGCGCTGGCTTGCATTTCAGAGGTTCCATCCCTTATCTTCACGGCAGGAAACATGGCAGCACACAGGCAGACATGGTGCTGGAGAGGTAGCTGAGAGTTCTACATCCGGATTGGCAGACAGCAGGAAGGCAGTGAATCCCTGGGTCCGGCTTGAGCATCTGAGACCTCAAAGCCCACCCTCAGTGGCATACTTCCTCCAACAAGGCCACATCTCCTAATAGTGCCACTCCCTATGGGGCTACGGGGGCCATTTTTATTCAAACCATCACAACTTCTGAAGCAGAAATACTGAAATGAGGATATAAGCATTTCCTTCTGGATACTGAATAAAACTTAAGCTAAAAACCTCTTCTTTCTAACCGTGGTGAAAAACGGCTACTAACTCTTTATAGGGTCCTTGCATGAATCCTTCTCTTGAAATAAAAATAAACCAGGGTGGTGGCACACATCTGTAATCGCAGTAGTCAAGATCCGAGGCAGGAGGACTACCATGAGTCTGAGTACAGCCTGGGTTACATATTGTACTCAGATGACTCAGGTCCCCCCCGAACTACATGGCAAGACCCTGTCTCAAAATTAACTGATTTTAAAATAAAATAAAACATTGTTTCCATTTTAACAGCCATAGCAGACCAAGGAACTGAGGGATTCTGCTTAGGGAATAGACCCTACAGAATTGGCTCCTTTCATTTGCCCCTCAATGTCAGGTTCCCACAATCTTCAGCCTCGTGATAGCCAATCCTTGCTATTCCATATTTTGTGATTTTTCTACACCCCTCAGGGTCATGGATCAGAAAAAGGAAACTTGGCGGGCTCTGCACCTTGGGTGTACATTCAAAACCACTTTACAAGCTTTAGAGCATTTGATTGACAGAGAATGCAGAATAAGAACATTTCAATTCCTTCTTTGCAGATTACCAATACAGGCCAGCAGGACGGCAATGGAAGCAGCCCTACTGCTGCCACTTTCTCCTATAAGGAGATTATTGAGGAAAAATGAGAAAGAGAGAGCCAACGTACATTTTAAAAAACACATAAGGGATGCATGAACCAGTTATAAAATATGAACTTTATTTAGATCCCAATTTTAATCAACTATAAAATAAATGACTTAATTAAGGAGATTTTAAAACTCATGAGATATTTTTGGTTGTGAGCCTAGCCTTTAACAGCTAAGTGATATGTCAGGCGCATGCCTTTATTCCCAGCACTCAGGAGGCAGAGGCAGGTGGATCTCTGTGAGTTCGAAGCCAGCCTGGTCTACAAGAGCTAGTTCCAGGACAGGCTCCAAATCTACAGAAAAACCTTGTCTCAAAAAACAAGAAAAAATAACTCATGAGATATAATATTTAAAAACTAATATTACATATGATATTGGTATTGTATTCTTGAGGAAGGCTCATCTTTTACAGGTTTGAATATTTATAAGAATTTTGGTAGGCATAGAAAGAGCACTGTCTATAAAATGCTTGCATGGGAACGTGGAGACCTTGTTGGATCCCCAGTATCTGCTTTAGAGGCCAGGCAGAGTGGTGTGTTTTCATAACCCCAGAGCTGGGGAGCACATAGAAAGGTCCCTGGGGCTTGCTGGCTAGCCAGCCGAGGCCACTTTGCAAGTTTGAGGGCAGTGAGAGATCTCAATTTAATAAAATTAAAGGGGTGGATGCATCTTATGAATGGCACGTGAGGTCGGTCACTGGCCTCTATGTCAACGTAGATACCCAAACCAGCCAAAGACTGACTGTAATTGATAAATGCAAAGCTAAGATGTCACTGCGTCTTCCTCCCTAGTTTTGTACAAACCTGAAATTCTGCACATTGAAAAGCTAAATGGCCACTTTGTGGGATCACCTGGTCCATCCTGACTGCCACAGTCGTTGACAAATCACAAGTTCCTCACTTGTTTCCTTAGCAAACCTTTTGTACCTGTTATGTGCCTCACTATTCCTGAGCAGGACAAAGACCAAGTCGGGAAATGACAAGAGTCCAAGCCAATCATCTCAAACAACTGACCAGAGCGAACCTGCATCTCTATGAACCTCAGCTATCCCACAGCCAAGAGGTGAGAACGATGCTGAGCAGAGGGGGAACACAAGAACAAACCTGCGCAAGCCCTAAAGCAGGTCGGCCATGCCTCATTCTCATGTGCATCCTCCATCTTTCTTAATGAAGAATCCATTTATTTAAAAAAAATGCATTTGAAGGGAAAGACATGGGTCTGTGTTACGCCTATACGGGATGGATTTTGACTTTTCTGTACCTGGAAGAAGTCATAGTTTACAGTCATAGGGAATATAAAATGTGAAGGAGGGAACTATCAGCAAGGAGTTCCCAGTAAGTTTCCTGACACTTCAGTGAGTGAGAAGGTGTAATTTTTTTTTCAAGGAAAAACACAAATGAGAAGATGAGCCAGTCTGAGCTCCAATACACCTTGAGTCTTGCATCCAAAGGTTCAACCATATCTAGATTGCTTATAAAAAGATAAAATGATTTACAAATTCTTGTAAGAGACCTGGGAAAAAAATCAAAAATTTAAAGGAAATACTTATTTTATTTTCAGTTCGTTTTTCTCCTAGAAGTTAATGAAGCACAGAAAATACTCATATTTGCTTTCATATTTTTGATTTTTTTTAAAACAAATGTCGATTGTCATTTGGTTACCTATGATAGATAGCGTTCTATCTGCCCTCATCACCACACAGACACCAGGCACTGTACCAGGAATGTGGCCTGCACTGTGTCATTAAATCTTGGGACAACACAAAAAGGTGTGTGCTATAATCTTGTTTACAAGGTAATAAATGAGGCTTTCAGAGGTCAGGACACTTGTCTGAGGTTTCTTCCCAGTAGGTGGTGGAGCCAGGATCTGACCCCAGCCTGTCTATCCCCACATTCCCAAGCCTCCCTGCAAGCATGGCCAAGGGTGATTAGTGTTCATTGAAAGTGACTCGTCTATCTTTGAAAATATAGTCCCACAAGCAATACCACTCCACCCCATTACCCACAACCAGGCTCAAACAGGAAACAGTGTGAGGTAATTATAGCATAGCCCCCCCCAGCCACCAGCTCTGGGGTTTTATGGCTGAGCTGCCAAATCACTCCTAGCCAACTCTGCAGGAAATGTTCAGACACTTTCTCGGATTCCAGCTAAAACGTCAACTGTGTGGCCCTGGGGAGGAGAGAGCTCACAGGGTGGTAATGGGATATACAATTTGCAAACTTGGGGTCAGTGGCCTAAACTCTCGGGTGTGAAACAGCAGCGGTCCGTGGGAGATTAAAAACGACTTGTGGACTTGAAGGGTGGATGTCAATGCTCCCCTTGCCTGGCACTTGCCCACATCAACTCT